AGCTTCTACAAGAATCTAAAACGCTTGGGCTACATGCCGGATTCCAATCTACGGGTCGAAGAAGCTTCTACGAAATTCCAAATCGGTTCGCCGTTTGTCTAACTTCAACGCGTTCACCTAATTTGATAAAGAAAAACACCCAATGCCGCTGTCGGTCCAAGAAGCTTCTTCCAAATTCCAAATCGGTTCACCGTTGCTCTAACTTCGACGCGTTCACCTAATTTGATAAAAAAAAAATCCAATGTGGTATTGTTTTTGGCGAGAACCTGGTAGGGCAGTATGCATCTAACTTACCTGGTCAAAGGAGTAAAATATAGTATAGTATCACGGACAAGAATATATATGTACAGTATCATCGACAAGAAACGGGTATCAGTTGTCGGGCAGCTTTGATTCTTAATCACAACTGGGGTTAAGGTGGGTTATCACTCACAGTATCATTGGTTAGGGGACTCTGCAGACTGTAGACGGTTCAGCTTCCTGATGAGCTGGTGAAACTCTGACGAAACACGGGCCAAGGGTAGATATGGTGAGCAGCGGATTGCTTAGTGGTGCGCCGATGGTGGCTGATCACGATGACAAGGGAAGATCGTGCTTAACCCGGTGATGTAGCATGCCTGCAATAATGAGGATTGGACTATACAACAGATCTCCTGGTGGCATTGCCACAGTAATGGTGGGGAGTGTTGATAGTGCAATGGTCGGCAGATGACATGCACTAGGAATGGGTCTGCTGTGGAAGTGTTTCGAGAGATGGTGAGGATGGGTGCTTGGGGGCGGGGATGGGCCTGTGCCCTTCTGGTGGTCTCGTGGTCAACGACTTGCTGCATCCGATGACCGTGGCCACTCCAGGGAAGGTGATAAAATCCTCTCCTCTCTCCTCTCTCTATCTCTCTCTTGGCCTCTCCCTCACTCAGCAATGCGCCATTGTCATGGCTGTGATTCGTTACTATCTGTTGCGACTGATGGAGTGGGGAATTGCAGGGAAGATGCCGTGCAGAAGCTTCTGTCGCTGCTCCCTCCTTCCCAGCTTCAATTCATCTGCGCCCCTTTGGGTGGTGGTATTGAATCAATATTCGACAAGGCGATGCACGCCATTCTATAACCTACATCTCAGCTTATGTACTAGCTTAAGGGTGCCGTTCTTCTAAACCGACGGTACAGATTCCCCTCTGAAGCTTAGGGCACTTTTTCCTTGAATAGATTCTTTCTCTCTGTGGACTGATGACCCTCCAGCGTGTCGTCGGTGTGGATGATTGAACATCAATCTAATCTTATCAAATTTCTCATAGATGAAGTGAAACCACCGCTGCCCGGAACAGCCGGCGGACTCGTGCAGAGGATTTGTTTGGCATGAAATACACATACTGTGCGGACTCTCTTACAATGAACGAATGATTCTCACTGAGAAAGCTGGCGTTTACCCTTGCAAGAATTGAAGGTCGCAAGCTGTTCACGATGAACCATTTTATTTTATTTTTTTAATAAATAAAGTCCATGGTGTAGTAGAGGGTGGAGGCCAGGCCTCAGGAGGTGCCCGTAGTACTCGTCCATTGGGGGGTCAGATGGGTTGCTAGTGCCCCGAGGGCAGGCGCCTCAAGGTGGCACCACGATGACATGTCCTATGCTAGTGCTCAGATCGCAAGTCGTAATCTGCGCCGACGCTTACCGGACTGACTTGAACGTCTAATTTTATCCACCAGGACTCGAAAACTCATGTCGCAGGCTGTTCAAGATGAACAGGGTAATTTTATCCGCCAGGACTGAAAAGCTCAGGTCTGTTTATCAACAGTCGACATCTCTAGTGAAGGGACATCCCACCGGTATACAAGGTGCCCTTCCATTATTCTGGGAGTAAAGGACATCCCCCGGTATACGGGGGGGGGGGGGTGCCCTTCCATTCTCCTCGAAGTGAGTGAAGGTTTGAAGGTTTGAAAGCACAGTTTCAGGAGGCTAAGTGATGTAGACGGACGTAGTTTCTATTCCGATCAGTTAATATCTGATCGGGCATCTTCCATCGGACCATATAAAAGAAATAGAACAGCTGGCACAATGCATCGTATCGCACTTTCCGAGTGGTCGGAGGAAAATGTGGAATTGGTATTTCCACTCAAACCAGCCGAGGCACTGCTCCAAGGGGTGGTGACGCAGTTGTTGTTGTGTTCTTAGATAATGGTGAGAAAGTACTGCTCCCATGAATATTCAGGGTGAAGAAAAGGAAAACCAAAAAACGATTGCAGAAAGTAAGGGATGGATTTGGCAAAGGAAGGGCACCTTCAGATGGGGAGCAGCTATCATGTCAGGATTCTAGGCTTGTGTTGCCGGGACAGGTGTTGTGGCGACTGAAAGTAAGTACATATATACTGAATGCATGGTCTTTTGTGGTGACCGCTTTTCCTTTTGGCCTGCAATCGACATGTGCGTCAGGTGTTGGGGGTGTATGGTGGGCATATGCTTAATGCCAGCCGCCATGGCAAGTGTTGTACTGAGAATGCTCAGCTAGGTCTTCCATGTGTTCATCGATCTCATCCTTACAATGCATGTCCTCTCTGTCGTCAAGGACAAGTGATTCTTGAGCCTTTTCTTATACTCTCCTTTGCCTTCATCTTCATTCCACACTCCTTACTTTCCCTAACTTTCTCTTTGTCGTTCTTTGTTTTGTCTTCTCTCCATATCTCTCTTCTCTGTGTTTATCTCTTCCCCCTTTACTCTGCCTCTTTCTCACAGCACACAAGTGGGCTGTTTTGGCACACCAGGATGTGGGCAGCTCGCACTCAACTTCATCAATGTGGCGAGTCTTGTACATGAGAGGCGTGGTGAAGGGGGGAATTAAAAGAAGAATGGGGAAAATGAATGGTTTCAGTGTGCCCTTCATATTGGTCTTGTTTTTTTTTTTTTTACCTTTTTTTTTTATTTTTTAACCCCAATAATGGATGATAGTATGATGATACATTATGAAACTCAACGAGGCCAAGGACCTCACAATTTGACCCAGAGTGAACAATACTGTGAGCATTAGTCAGCTTCACTTATTTGAATGAGGACTGCTGCTCACACTCACCCATTATTAATCTGATACTCGAAATTGCTACATTCTACCGTACTCCAAATGATGTATAAGTAAACACCGATATTTTTGCCGTTTGTTTTGCAAAGTGTGCTCTTCTAGTTCATAACTTCATAGATATGCGATAGTATGTATGGATAGGTAGATTATATAGAAGATACATGTGAGTGTACAGATGGAGCTATTGACCGACATGTCTGTCAGTGAATAGATGGACGCATTCATACATAGATAAAGTCAATTCCTCATTGATGGGTTCAGGACCAGCAGGTGTTCTATTGGCAGATGAAGTCCAATGCGACGACTTATTGGTGTTCAAGCTGGGCTTACTGCGGACTCGTCGAGCACGAGTTTAACTTGCCATGATGTGCCCGGTTCGAACTGTGACTTTCTTTCTTCCCCGTCGAGCACGAGTTTAACTTGCCATGATGTGCCCGGTTCGAACTGTGACTTTCTTTCTTCCCCTGGATACCTGCAGGTTGCTAAGCCCAATGTCCTAACACCATAACAAGTGGTTCCAACCTCGCACCAATTTGGCACTCGAGGGTTGGGCGCACAGAAGGTTCGGGAAAATAGGCTCGGGGCTAGTGGTGCTTCAAATTGCCAACTAATTCCTGAGAAATGGGGCCGTCGGATTATTGATCCGACTGACCAACGGAAAAAATAAAGAGCAAGCCTTCTGGTAACCAGGGCGGTTGTAAAAGGCGGTGGGGGTTTCAAAGTGCTTTATGGCCCCCGGTTTGAGTGCGTTGCGGTGCCTAATGTGGGTGGTGTGTGCACTGTTCATGCATTGTAAAGTAATGTATGTGCAAGGCAGTGCAATTGAGTGATTGGTTTAAGAGAAAATTGAGGCAGTAATGAAACCCTTAGCTCCACTTGAACCACCACTGTGCACTCTTGATTTTTCTTGTCATCAAGTACGAGACCAAACTCTACAGAGACGATGACTGAAATGAATCAGATGCCTTTGTACTTGGTACGAGTGCTGGCCAGCTGGCTGCCAGCTGCGACTGCATGTGGATCTGTGTGCTCGTTGAGCTGGATGCAGATTGGATTGGGACTCTGTGTGGCTTTATGAACCACACTGCCAGACTTATTGTCATGTCCTTTTTCCTATTGTATTTGCGGATAATGGGAGATTGCTCCGACTGCATCCCCGCCGATATTACGGCAGCAGGGACATTTGGGAGGTTTGGCCAAATGTCCTCAGGAGGTAGTCACTGCTACCCCGAAAGGCAGGCATTATATGTTGACTGATGCGATCTGGTGGTACTTTCTTCCTGCATCATACGTGCGTGGCGGCCAGGTGTGCCCATGAGGTAGCTATCTTCACCTCTTGCAGTCTTTGTTTTTTTCCCCAGATAAGAGAATCGCAGATATTTGGAAAAAGGCTCGCTTCGCTAGAGGTGGCTGGCTGTCTTATTCTTTTTTTTTTGGCGGGGGGGGGTTGCCTGTTTTGCTTGTTTTGTTTTCTTGCTTTTGTTTGGTAGGGTAAATTGGGCTGATCTCGTTTGATAGCTTGGTTCGATTGGCTGCATTGGTTCAAGCCTCGTTTACCCCCATATTTCACACCTGGATGCACAAATATGTTCCTCCCTTGTCTGTATCTGACATGTAGCCCCCGATCTCCTTGTGTATTCACAGCATTGTGGCATTATGTCCGTTACAGTTGTGTAACAGAGTATTGGGGAGAATGCTGAGAAAGAGGCATTCTTCTCAATGCAAGGCGAGCAGTTCGATGGACTGTGTCCAGATGATGGGGGCAGGGTGATTTTTTTGAGAGACAAGTCCGCTTGGTGTTTGCACATTAAACAGTTCATTCTATTGAGAGAATTTGAGACAAAATGATGAGAAGTATTTTCCACGAGCATTGAATAGTTTGATGGAGTGGTCCATATCACTGAGGTTTTCCCATGTGGCATCTGATTCATAGGTTACTGAGGCGGAGGAGAGGTTGGCCATAGCCAGGGCCTATGGAGATGATATTCAGCTCTCAGGACACGTGCGAGCAGGCGTCGCTGAATGCAGGCATGCTTCCTTACCGAGCCCCAGTGTATTCCACTTTACTTCCATTTGGTTGCTGTCCCCTTTGTTTACCCTCCTTCCACATTAACCATTTTGCTTATTTACTATGTCTTGATGCTGCAATTCATCCACAAAGTCCACCGTACTATTCTATCCGAGTGAAATTAATGAACCGCCTGTTACTGGCGCCTGATCTGAAGAATTTGACCAACCTGCCAAACTTCACCTCCAACGAGGCGTCCAAGTGGAAGGAGGACAAAGAGCAGGCTGGCGGCGGGTTACTATCAACGTGAGTGATTGGTTATGTTCCTTCCATCGTCTGCTTGGCTACAAATCATGTCTGTCTACACTGTCCACTTTTTTAAATCTCTCCTCTTGTGTTTGAAAGGGTGGTGGAGGAGGGCCTCATTTCTGGCATGAACTTTGCCAAATATGGTAAGGCTTCTTCAAATGTAGCATTGTGCTCATTTCTTTCTTTTGACTTTTCCATTTCTTTTTGAAAAGATGGCTTTTCCAGAGGTAGAAGGCCATGCGTAGCATCTGCAACTGCATGTGCACAAGAGTGTGAAAGTAAAACTCTACAATGAGTCTACATGGACAGATTCAGATGTTAATTGTGCATGCATTTGCTCATTCTATATCAACACCTGATGTGGAGCGGAACGGAGAGCATGGTGGAGGATGAATGAAATCTTGCCACTTGAAGATAGGGCATAGTGTTGCCTGGAAGGAACTGTGAGGAAACCCTGCTGAATAGAGTGTGGGAAAACTTTCAGTTGTGGTATTGTTAGCTACTACTGGTAGGGCAAATTTACCGACCTGTTTTCTGGACCAGGTCAAGTATCTCAATCTTTGGACTTCTGTTTCGAGGCCAGTGGACTCATAGCGAGGGTGTTCTATGCCTCAGCAGGATGCATTGGCTCCCACTTCATGATCTGTCACAGTTACTAAAGTGCAGTTGGCATTTACCAGAGTCCACCTTTACTTCCCTCTAGGTGTACACAGCTAGGAATTAAGCATGAGACTCTGGACAAGTGTATTACCCAATTTCGCTTGCCATACGTACACGGACACCTCAACACCTAATTATTGGTGTTTGCATTTATTTCACGAGTCACACCACTTGTGCACAGCCAAGACTCGACACTTTGGCGCACAAAGATTCACACTCAAAATGCACGCCGATAGAATTTGAGAACACTGAAATTTTTGACCCGCTTGACCTGCCCAGATTTGTCTTAATGTGACCCACCCTCACCCAATCATCATTCTTTTCGCCTCACCTCGACCGAACCCGCCCAGTTATTTTTCAGAATTTCCCACCTTTGCCCAACCCACCTGACCCCGGGAAAAAAAGGCCTCACCCAGACCCACCCACACTCGTGACTGCATGCAGACCCGCCTGCATCCATGACGTAATTAAACCTCACACCGTTGTCACACAGGTTGTTACCATAACCACGAGTGATCGGCTATCTTTCTCTCTCTCTCCCCCCTCCATTTTCTGCAACTCCTCCATGGTGAGGCGAAGACAAACATCACCCTGTTCTGTATTATTTGGCTGTTCCCTTCCTCTTTTCTTTGCCTCTTTGCCTTTTGGCTGTGTGCAAGTGGGTCGATATGACACATGGGGGTGGGGGCAGCCGCCGCTCAACCTACATCCACGTGGGCGGCCTTGTACACAAGAGGTTCTGAACAGGGGGAGTTGTAAGGAAGAAGATAAAAGACTGAATTTATTGTTTCCTGTTTTTTTTCTTCTTTTTTCTTTCTTTTTTTTTCGCATGTGCGCTCTGATATTCTTATGACAATATATATATTCAGCCTCCTGATGAGTCGGTGAAACTCCGACGAAACAGTTTGTCACAGCCCCTCGTTTGTTGTCCTCTTCTCTCTCTCTGCCTACGGTTTACCGGGCAGTTCTGTTTGTG